TCAAGGAGGATCAGGCCATCGTCGACGCCCCGATGGCGAGCCTGTTTGAGGTGACCAAGCTTCGCAACATACGTAGTGATCCCGGGTCACGCGCCGACGCACTTCTCGCCGCTCGCCGCACGGGCGAGCCAGACTTCATCGCCCAGGGGCGGGTACCCCTCGCCGAAGCCGAGCAGCTGTTTGCCAGGTTCCGCGGGACGCTCAATGCATACCTCTGGGGAGGCGTCGCCCTTCTGCACGACAACCTGCTTTCGGCGCGGCAGTCGTCTCCACTGCTCGTGGCCGCCATCCTCGCCGTCACGGCGCTGCACGCCCAAGACGAGGGCGTAGGCTTTGACCGGTGCTATCCCGTCTTTCTCGACCTGGCCAGCCAGTGCATGTTCCAGCGGTACCACACGCTCGACGACGTTCGCGGCCTGTGCATCGGTGCCTTCTGGCTGTCCGACGTCAGCTGGAAGCTATCAGGCCTGGCCGTGCGCATTGCGACGGAGCTCAACCTGCACCAGTTCTGCGCCAAGGCGCTTCGAGATGAGCCGGATCATGTCGAGAAGGCGAGGCTCTGGTACTTTCTCTACGTATGTGACCATCACTTTAGCATTGCCTACGGGCGCCCGCCCGTGATACCCGAGGACGTGACCATATCGCGGCACGAGTCCTTCCTGCAGTTGCCGGGCATCAGACAGGCAGACTTTCGCCTGCACAGCCAGGTGGCCATCTTTGTGATCCTTAGCCGTGCGTACCATACCTTCGGGCCCGACCGCTCGAGACTTGTAGCCAACGACGAGTTTGAGGCACTGCGGCGCTACGAGTCGGACATGGGCCACTGGCGGCGCATGTGGGAGCCTAGGCTGGGTATGTTCTCTACGCCCCATGAGCAGCTTGTTTGTGCTCTGAAAGCATGCTGACTTGGTACTAGTCCCGGACCCCAATATTTCGCAGTACCCTGCCAAGGGCGTGAAACTGCACTATCACTTTGCTCGATTACAGATCTTCTCCGTCTGTCTTCGCGGGCTCACGCCGACGGATCAGTTTCTCATGTCGCCTGAACGGCGGAGCTTCATCGACTCGGCCATCAGCAGTGCCTCGGCGGCGCTGCGGCTCATCCTCAACGACCCTGACATGCGGCGGGCCGTCATCGGCGTGCCGCTGTATCTGCTGACGGCCGTGGCCTATGCCGCCATATTCCTCATGAAGGTGCAGTCCGAGTGGAAGGCGGCCGAGTTCAACATTAGCTTCTCCGAGGTCGTGACACTGATCGAGGCGACGGTCAGCCTGCTCAACGACTCGCAGGCCTGCGTCAGGCACGTGGCGCACTTCCTCGGCAAGGGGCTCAACACGATGCTGGAGAAGTTCAAGGAGAGGGAGGCCATGCTTCAGGCGCAAGCCCAGCAACAGCACAACGAGCAATTCGTGCAGCAGCAGGGATGGGCGGCGCAGGATGCGCAGCAGGGCTGGAACAACTGGATGCTCGGCGGCGCACCGGAGGTAGAGCCTTTCGGGATCGGCGCGGAGTACTACCCGCTGGGGATACTGGACGTGCTGGGCTCGCAGATGCCCGGCTGAGCTGTCGTGAGCGTTCCACGAGACGACGCGGTGGCACGCGTGATGGCATCACTCATGTCGGATGTACAATTGTGACCAGTATGGGACGATGGGGGCTATTTTTTCGTGGTGGTAATGAGTGGTTCGGAGATGATGCCGCGCTGGGCAAGATACCAATGGGGAGAATAATTATGATGCCTGCTCGACTACACAACTGCGTGGCAGAAACGAGCACGAGATCTAGCAGATCCCATCGTCCAAACATGACGCTTTGTGATATTCACAGCAACCCATACGAGCATGCTGCCCACGTTTCGGCTAAGCGCCACGAGGCCCCAGACGTCGAGAATGAGAATCTGGGGAAAGGAATGGCTCGACGAATCGGACAGAAGGCCGCCTTCAGATTCGCGGACAGATGACCGTTTCCATGCTCACACGGCACTTGAGAGACGAACCGAAGGGGGCAGGCATTCTGCTCGTACCAAAGGTAGGCTTCGCTAGGAGGCTCTAGGGGGAGAGGAGCCGGGTGCTGATCCCAGCTTTCCAGGCGCAGTGTTTGGCGTTCGTCTCCCGTTGCCCCCCAGTTCAGAAGTCTTCTAGCTCGGGTTTTAGGGCGGGGTGGGAGCGGAAGTCAGACTAGGTTCATGACTTGTGTCTCTCTCTACCATCATCTGTGACCCAGAGGAACCTACATCCCCACGGGGAGGGGGGTGGGAGCAGCGCCAGAGCAGTGCGAAAGCAACGCTACGCAAAGCTTTGAGAAACGCGGGGGAAACCGGTCTAGCGGCCCATCCATGGGCAAAGATCGCAAAGACACGAATCTATATCTTTGCACGGTTCTGCTGTCTAGTTCTGGGCATCTTGGACTCCTCCTCGCCACTCCATCGACATCATCGCCGACCGACAATTGAGGATCATCAACGTCGACAGCCAAAACGTGGGGAATCCCTTTCTGCGACTCTGCTATCGATTGAGTCGACCCGGTCACCGACTCCCCCTCGTCAATCGTACGACTCGCGCGAGTGCGACGTTCTCCTCTCCATCTTTCAAAAACTCTTCCTCCACATCGAGCGACCGATTGAGCCAGATTCATCAACAATCAATCACCATGGCTGCCGACCTCGACAAGGAGCAGGTCTCGGCCAAGGAGCATCAGGCCCCCAACACGGGCTCGCTCGACCCTGAGCTTGCTGAGGCCATCCGCAACTTCGTTCCCGGCACGAGCGAGGAGAAGAAGCTCGTCAAGAAGATTGATCTCTTCCTGATGCCCATGCTCTGGATCATGTACATTCTCAATTACATTGATCGCACGAACATTGTGAGTTTTGCCTCCTCCCTCCCGCTGTTGAGATTTTTTTGAGATTTTTTTTTCGCTGCATTCGTTCGATCACCCCTTTTGCACGGATCACTTCCTGGACCATCCACGCCAACTTTGGGTGTCCCCTTTGCTAACCTGCACAGGGCAATGCCAAGATCGCGGGAATGGGCGACGACCTGGCGCTGGACGACAATGAGTATGCCTGGGTGCTGTCCATCTTCTTCTTCGGCTACCTCATCTGCGAGATCCCCTCCAACATGATCCTCAGCCGCACAGCGCCGAGTATCTTCCTCCCTGGCATCATGTTCATCTGGGGCGGCCTCTGCGCCGCCATGGCCGTCGTCACCAACTACGGCGGACTCCTGGGCTTCCGCTTCGTCCTCGGCTGCGTCGAGGCCGGTTTCTTCCCTGGTGTCCTGTACCTGCTGTCGTGCTGGTACACAAAGGCCGAGCTCGGCAAGCGCTTCGCCATCTTCTACACGGCTGCTGTCCTGTCGGGCGCCTTTGGCGGCCTCCTCGCGGGTGCCATCACCTCGAACCTCGACGGCGCCCACGGCATCGCTGGCTGGCGCTGGCTCTTCATCATTGAGGGTGTTGCGACCGTCGGCGTCGCTGTCATGGCCTACTTTGTCCTGCTCGACTACCCCTCGACCTCGAAGCGCTTGACGCCCGCGGAGCGGCAAATGGCCCACGTCCGGATCATGGCCGACTCGATCGCCCAGAACGGCGCCTCCAGCAACCGCCTCAGCCACTGGCAGGCGTTTGTCGCCGCCGTCTCCGACCCGCGGACCTACATGTTCCTCGTCCTCTTCATGCTCGACGTCGGCGCCGGCACCATCTCGTACTTCATCCCAACCATCACCGTCACCCTCGGCTACGACACGACGACGGCCCAGTACATGACGGTGCCCGTGTACGCCGTCGCCGCCGTGGTGCTCAACATTGTCGCCTGGTCGTCGGACCGCCACGTCGAGCGCCGCTTCCACATCGCCGGCGCCCTGGCCCTCGGCTGCGCGTGCGCCATCGTCTGCGCCGCCGTCCAGACGCCCATGGTCCGCTACGTCATGCTCTGCTTCGTCGCCGCCGGCATCTGGTCCGCCCTGCCGCTGATCCTGTCCTGGACGAGCGGCACCGTCAGCATGCCGCCCGAGAAGCGCGCCATTGTGCTCGCCATGGTCAACGCCTTTGGCAACTTCTCCTCCGTCTACGGCAGCCGCATCTGGCCCTCGACCGACAGGCCCGCCTACCACGTCGGCTGGGGCGTCACGGCCGCCTTTCTCGGCAGCGCCATGCTCCTGGCTCTTGTGCTGCCCATCCTCTGCAAACTTGTCGACTGGAAGGGCACCAGGGCTGAGAGGGAGCTTCTCGAGGGGCGGGCCGAGGACGACGCGTCTGCCTAGATTGGACAGCGGGAGGGGGAATTGATGATTTGGGTCTAGTAGGCTTTGTGGGAGTACATAGTATTTATTTAAATCTGGCTGGAGTTAGGGAGCGGCGTTGTCACAGAGTTTGTCTTGCTCGATGGATCTTTGCCCACCTTGCCCTTTCTGGTGAAGAAGCGACAACTGCGCCCGGTTTCTTCTGTCCTTCGGATGATTTGAAAAAGTTGACTAATGCCGAGGTCTTGACAGGCGGGGAGGCTAAGGAGATTTAGGTAAAGCGAGCCGGGCAGACCTGCCGAAGGGGGGTCGTTGGGTCTGGTCAACGCCTTTGTGTGTGTGATGAGTGGTCAGGGTTAGGGACAATGGCGTTGCGGGTTCTGCACCTGGGTTCCGTACCGGGATCTACGATGCGTGGCGTTCTTTGTTTTCATGGTCGTCGTAGTTCGAGAGACATCAGATGACCGTTTGGCTTGTTGAGTGATTGTTGTCTTGCAGGCCACTGTTTGGGCCTTGGTTGAAATTGGAGGTGCTGCCTCATCGTGTTTCGATATGGTTCTTCGCTTCTGGAGGGATAGCTTCTCTTTTTGCGAGCCTCTTCACCAAAGTATCGTCTCAGTGATAAAACCAAGTTGCTGTCATTGGTAGACCTCTTCTTGTTGTGATAAACACTTCACTTGACTTTACTCCTCTTCATGACTTACCTGCTGGTCCAGTAAGCTCATTTCGTTATCGGGTTCGAATTATACTTCAAGCACATCATGTTCCAACCTTTCCGCTCAATCTGCGACTCAATGAGCGAGTTGAGCGTTGACGGCGACGTCCCGATCCGTGGCCTTCCTCCGTCCAAGCTTGTCTCATTGGAAGGCTGCATCAGACGCAGCAAGCCCGAACCAGAAGCGAAGCGAAAAAGGCAAGACGAGGCAAGAGACGAAGACTCTACCCGGAAGCACGTCCGCTTTGACCTTGCGCAAATCCATCTCGTCGAATCTCATGAGGATCTGTGTCCAGTCCAGGAATCCCCGCCGCTCGACTCTTCGGACCCCGTCACGGACCTCAACCGCAAGTCGGGTCGATCCAGCTCGCCTCAGGATGGTATCATCAGCATTGACTACATGGGAATAGTTCAGCAGGCTCTCTTGGATGTGGACCGGCCGCTGCTTGAGCTGCCCTCTGGTCTTGGAAATAGGGCTGAAGTCCTGCGGAATGTCCGGCGTGAGAGGAGCGTGGACGACACTGTGAGGATCGTCAACCATTATCTCTACTGGTATGCCCAGGCGCGCGCTGATCTTGGGCGGGAGGATACGGCGTACGGTCGATTTTGTCGTGAAAAGGTGCTTGCCGATGGTCTGAACAAGGGCGAGGGGTCCAGCGAATGAAGAGGTTGCTGGCCGTCTGCTGGAAGCAAGTGACCGGACAATGGATGCGAATTGCGTGAGAAGAGAGCGTCCGGACATGACGTTCCAGACGACGCGTCATCGGAGGATCTTAACTCTGCATCCGCGGCACCTTGAATCCAAATGGAATCTCATGTAGTCACTTAGGGATAGTGGACCGGGGTTCATGCTCTCAATCTTTGACCTAGCGAGCCTCATCATGACGACCGGTGACCGCCATGGGCATTGATCACGTCGGACGTGCGTATTGAGAAAGAAATTATGCGTGTGAACAGCCAACCATTCGTTTCTGTATGAGCTAGCGCTGATGATACATGCACCCAGACCGCCACAACTCTCAACTCATTTGCTTTGGTTCGGCTACTGAACGAGTGATACCGGCGCACAACCTTGGCAGATGCACCGGCCCGTCGTTTTGATTTCTGCCTTTAAGAGGGGAAATCCCACAAACTTGAGCCTCGAGAAGCTTTTTTTGAAGAGGCTTTTTGAAGAGGCAACCTCACGAGACAAGTAATGGCTGATCAGCCAGTACCCGCTCGGGCTGACGCCCTGGCGACGCTCGATCATGGCCAGCTTCGGACATCTGCACTCATTGGCGTTGCGGTCGTTGCTATCCTCATGCTTCTGAGTTTCATCATCACCATCAAACCGGAACAAAATGAACCGCCCTTGCTCAAGCCGACGATACCGCTTGTCGGCCACATCCTCAACATGGTCCGACACGGGACCATGTTGCTTTCTCGCTACAGAAAACATAATCTCCCAGCAGCCTCCATCTTCTCCAGCATGACGATGGGGATACTCTTGGCCTGGGCCTCGGGGCTCGCGCGCGCGAAGCGTTCTCCGTACCGCTCGTGGAGGGCAAGGCAGGGATAGACCAGGACTTGGGCGACCTGCCGAAAGTGAGGGCCCAGCGCGGCGCGGAATGGGGCGGTCGGCCCGGCTGTGAAGGCGACGAGGAGCGAGAGGGAGGTCGCGAGGTTGCCGCCGGCTGAACAGCCGACGGTGACACGAGATGGGTCCGCTGCGACGCCCAGTGTCCGCTCTGCCGCTGGCGAGATTGACCATTTGAATATTTCGTATGCTTGGAGGAGGGCGTGGGGAAAGGGGTAGCGGGGAGCTTTGGCGTAGTCGAGTGAGGCGACTATTGCGTTAGCTTGGGAAGTTATTAGCAGACTGCTCACCTACTTCAAGAGCCGTAGCCGGAGACGGGGCTTACTTTGTCGGACATGAACCTGGCGTTCGCTTTGCCGTCACTCGGCTGGCCGAGAGCGAAGCCTCCGCCCTCTAGCAAAATGATCAGGGGTAGAGGCGCCGGAAATCCCGGGGTTGGTCCGGGAGCCTTTGGCAAGCACACGGAACATTTGACGTGGCCCTCTCCCAATCCTGGCGTGTCGACAGCGACTCTCTTGTCGAATAGATGCCCGTCGCTGGACTGCCTGGCAATGAGCTCGCGCAGCGCAGAAAGCTCCGTCTCGAGTTGGGCCGCGAATGCTTCGGGATATCCGGGGCCTGAGGTCACCCTCGGAGGCTGGATATCGTCTTGCTTCATTTTGATAGGGGCCAAGGAGAAGAGAATCTCCTGAATATGATGGTTACTATGTGCCTTTGGGTAATAACTTTGATTTGACTGCATGGGAATCGTCAGTAGCGACATGCGAGGAATGAGCGAGGGTGATCGTCCAAGATATAGCTGGAGGACCAGTGCAATGAAGCTTGCGAGTGTAAGCGTTCTGTTACTACATCCATATGGGCATTCGGTCTGCATACGGCATAGTTAACCGGCGATTCAATTGGACTATTTCGTCTATACTGAGCAGTATATGCACCTTATTCGGCTGAAGCTGACGCGAGCAGGCGAGCATCCTATCATATGGCGTTCATGTCGTTACGAGGGTGCCGATCGGATTGGACAATCGACTCGGGGACGGGTGTTGAGCATGCCCGAGAGCTGCCACGGGAGAAAGATCACGAATGGTCAGAGACCGAGAACAATTGCTGAACTCAGGCTGAGGAGCTGTGCCGGGACGAACCCATGTTCAGCCAGAGTCCCCGCCGACCCATCATCAACCCGGAAATCGATCCCCGCAAATTCCGCTTCACAGCATCGTCGGCCGAGAGTCACGAGCACCACGCCGCTCGTTTCAACACTGCGCACATTTGGAAAGGGATGAGTACCGAAAAGAAAAGTCTGATTCTTGGCTTGTGCGTCTCCAAAAGTCGTACGTGTACATCGGTGGTGTCAGCACCCTGAAAAGAAAAATGAGCAAGAAAAATACGAAACACCCCTTACGCCCTGTCGCCTGAGCGTCGCTGTCGGCCATTCCGAGCCCCTGAACCACTGCCATAAGAACCTGTTGATGACGGCTTGTCAGCCTAATGATGTCAATGAAGATGTTCTGGTTTTCTTCGGGAACCATTTATCGACCGAATTCTACGAGCTACTCGCGAACTGAATCGCCATTCCACCGTTTCATAGTACAGGGGTGATGAACCAAGTGTGTAATGTCCTCAGTAGTAGATGGTATAATATAAGCCCAACTCCAGCATAATCATAATCATGTGAACGCTTTGAAGAGCCGAACAGCAGCCAGGCAGCCGGTTCTCTCGCAGTTTTCCCGGGAAGCAAAGCCTGTTCCCTTCAATTCTTTGTATCATCTGATCTAGTCCCTCTTCCTGAGCTTGGCGCCGGCAGCCTGCAGCTTCGAGGTGATGAATTCAACTTGCTCGTCGGCACGCGCTCCGTAGGCCAGGTGAGCCGGAAGGATCGTCAGCGTGCCGGCACAGACAGCGTCGCCGGCGTTGCAGATGATATTGGTCTTCTCAGGAGGGAAGTTGGGAATCTGGCGGTTGTCCTGGGGGCCATGTTAGCGTACTTCAATCTCCTTGGGCCTGAGACGAGCATCTTACCTGGACGTTCTGGGTGTCGCCAAAAGTAAAGGCGGCGACAATCTGGTCCTTCTGCGCCTGCGGAAGGTCCTCGACGGCGCGATGCGTGAGGGCAGCACCCTGGCTGTAGCCGCCGACGACGAGCATCGAGTCGGGACAGTCCGTGTTGGCCTGCGCGATGAGGCGCTCCATCTCGGCCACACCACGACGGTCGGCGCCTCCGTTGCCAAAGTTGGTAGACAGGGCAGCGGCGTACTCGATCCCCTCGACTGCAACCTGATCGGCGCCAAAGTTGGCCTTGACGCCGTTGGCCGTTGGCGGGCCGCACACGGTGCCCATGTTACCCGTCTCGGTCGAACCGCGGGCGAAGAGCATGATAATGGGCTTGCAGCCGCCGTCTGTAAACTCGGTAGCGGTGCTGCCAACACGGCCACCGCGCTGGCGCTGTTCGATGGGGCCGCCGGCGGCGAGGGCCGCGAGAGCGAGCGTGATAATGTACTTCATGATGGCGTTGGTAAAGGTGTTGGTCGACTTGAGAGTATCAGGGGGTTGTAAAGATGGTGGTACGGCTCACGGAGCGATGTAAATGAGTGAAGAGAAGGGAACGATGAAATGCCTCCCGGGCTGGCGAAGATACTGGCTTGCTGTGCTGGTCTGAGGGATCGTTGCTGAGGGTGCTGATGAGATGAAAGTATCGACAAAGTGTGAAGGTGCCAGCCGTCTTTATAGATGTTCTCCAAAGACGGCCTCCCGAGAATCCAGAGTTGAGATGACACGCCAGAAGGGCTGTTCTCTGCCGGCACTCTCATCGGACATGCGTCGTCCCATCCTCGACGGGAAGGCTGTCCAATCGCATCTCGAGCAACAACTGGACAGACGAAGCATCCACGTCGTGGGAAAGGGAACACGATCGCCAGATCACCGCAGGGCCCACAGAGCCTCCCACTTCCAGCGAACGAATGGGGCGATTTCCAGTCGCAACTCTGGCTCGCTTGGGAAGACATGGCGGCTCGTGGTTCAGCACGGCCCAGGCGCACGAGGTTGCGGGGACTGATGGCGGTGACGGACGCGCACAACCGCCCCCGTGGGCTCCGAACATCCCAGGGAAACAGAACCAGGACTTCGGGTGAGAGGCTGGGTTGGTTGATGTCTTCGAGCTGAAGCTGTATCGTTTAAAGCGCGTGTATGTCCAGTTGAGGTAAGTGTCTGTAAGAAGGTGAGCTTGGCGAAAGCAGGCAGTCTCAGGTTGAACACGCTTCAATGGGCAGGCAGAAAACAGCTCGCTCGATGGGGATAGTCACGATAGAGTAAGCGGGAACGTCATAGGGAGGTATTGTACCAGCCGTCCCATCACGAGTTGCGCATTCTGAGAAGCACTTCATCACTCGATGACCTCGGTCGATTGGTTGATAAGAGCTTGATCGTGAGCCCAAATTATATGGTGATCGAGCTATTCGCTGCATGGCTGCCAAACGTTATCATTCCTCGCGTTCCTGATGTTCGCAGACACCAAGTTGCACAGGCTTTGCTTTGGACACTAAAGGCAAATCTGGTCCGTTGTGCTTCGTAGAGAGCAAGGCGACTTCGCCGTAGAGCCGTGATGTCCAGATGGGCGATCCAAAAGCAGGGACGGGTCGTGGAGCTTTCCTCTTCTGTCAGTCTCGCGGCGCTCCATAACCAGATTGGGATTCACAGAGTGTCAGTGTTGGCCGAATTCGGTAACTTCCATGAAGAGGTCTTTCTTTTGCCTCGGCATGCCCACTGTGCGCCTAATACTGGTGCTGAAACCCGACAAGCAATATTCGAAACGATGGCGTGTGGTCCGAGTGGCTTCCAGTCAAAGAAACAATGCTTCAAAGGCAAGAAAAGAACGGAGTTGACATGGAAGACCTTGCTCCAGATGGCCGAATGGCCATACTGACAAACAATTTGCTTCCACGAAGAGGCCGTCGTATCACACCTACTCAACTGCGCACGCCGTCCGAGACCAAGCCGCAGGGCGGGGTCCAACGGGCGAGGGCAGGACGCTTTCGGGTAGCAGTGCGAGTCGGGCGATAGGTCATGTTGGGACGGTGTGAGCGCCACGGGTATACATGCCATCGATTGTTGCTCGCAAGGTGTGGCCCGAACAGGGACGTCGATTCCAGGAAGTCGTGGCTCAACCAGGCCGTCCCGGCTGACTTTGAGCCACGCGTCAGGCGATTGAAACGGACAAGTGAAGCAATCGATGATGCATTCCTCGCAAACAGGATGCACCGATAATGGAGTACGGGATGATTGATTGACGTTGATGATTGAACATGGGGGATAAAGCCATTGGTAGGCAGCTACCTATCGTGATCGTGATGGTGTTGAGGGGTAGCAAGGACTGGCGTGCTGATGACTGCTGACATAATGCAGTACAGCATGCTGGTATGAGAATCACCACACTCTTTGGGGTCGTCACTGTTCTGAAATACAGAGGAAAGCCTGGGTGTTACTCCCTACAGGTACCTACCGTACGGTACAGTGGGCTGCCAGTCCCAGGTCAGAAGGGGCTAGCGCTTGCAGCCACGCCCCGATGCGCTGACGTCAGGCCTTGATGCGCCGTAGCGCCCGTCGGACCCTGATCCACGGGCGCTCCACCTTGGCCGGCAAAACTCTGGGGCGACTCGAAGCCAGGGACTCGTGCCCGTGCTCCAGGCAGGCTCATGGCCCGCTCCAAAGCCCGTTTCCATGGTGGGGGGAAATCATGTGGTGGAGCACAGCCTTGTGACGACGCTCACCCAAGCCCAGCTTCAGGACAACAACCAACTCACCACGTACTAATACCCACCGTTCACAGCCCAAACTCTCCCAGAACCCCAGCCGCCAGTGGCGGAGTCAGATATGCCCGACGAACAAGGCTCGGGGAAGCCATCTTCGGACGCACCTGAGAAGGGCCAAGCCCTCGACGACCTCATCGACCTCACCGACAAGACGGAACCAACAGCATCAGCATCTGTAGCTGCCGACGCCAACAAACCGAGTAGCCCCGGCAACCACAGCGAAGATGCCGAGGACACTACCTCTCGCGCACATGTTGTGACAGAGGCAGACCCAGACGGAGAGGCTTCGGCCTCTTCGGACCTTTTGAATACTTCTGTGGCAACCATCAAGCCGTCGAAACCCCTCCCCGCCGACACCTCGACCCAGTTCCTCACGATCGAAACCAAAGCCTACGTTGATCCTACGCCACCTACCCCGACAGCCTCGCGCCCTCCTTCAAGAACACCGTCCAGTGTAGGATCCCGACAAGATGCGTCTCCCACGAGATCTGACGCTGCCTACGACGATCGGAGGTATACGAGCGATGATGACCAGGAGAACGGCTCGCGCTCCGAGATTCAGAGCATCATGGAGCAGTTCACCGGCGATGGAGGTGGCCCGGGAGCTGAGGAGGTCATGAGTCCAAGATTAGAGATTACATCGCCCATTCTCGGCGGCCCGATTCAACATCCACCAAGAAAGTCGAGCCTCGAGCCTCTGTCAACCTCCTTCTCGGCCCAGTCGCTGGAGAAGGAGACATTGGGCGCAGCCATACCTTCGTCACCCGTGAGCACAAGATCCCGAACCAGGTCCTCGGTGGATTTTGGTCCTCCGGTGCCCCCCAAGGACGGCCCTCCCGGCGCCGAGGACAGCCAAACCTCTCTCGATACTCCCATGTCGCCCTCGGCCATGCACCGGCCCCCACCACCCGAACCCGAACCAGAGCCGACCCTACCTTTTGACTTTCACCGTTTCCTCGAGCAGCTGCGCAACAAGAAAGCCGATCCAGTCGCGCGCTATCTCAAGTCTTTCCTATCCGAATTCGGCAAGCGGCAGTGGATGGTTCACGAACAAGTCAAGATTATCGGCGACTTCCTCGCCTTCATAGCCAACAAAATGGCGCAGTGCGAGGTCTGGCGCGATGTGTCGGACGCCGAATTTGACAACGCGCGAGAGGGCATGGAGAAGCTTGTCATGAACAGGCTGTACACCCAGACGTTCTCGCCGGCCATCCCCGCACCGCAGCCTATTCCTGGGGCCAAACCCAAGAGGAGAGGCGGCGAGCGACCGATGGGGCCGGGGCGTAAGGGCCAGCACCAAGAGGATGTCGAGAGGGATGATATCCTGACACAGAAGATCAACATTTACGGCTGGATTAGGGAAGCCCATCTCGATATTCCACCAACGAGCGAGAGCGGGAAGCGGTTCCTCAAGTTGGCGCAGCAGGGTATGCGGCTGTGGATTCTTTCTCGTACACGGCAGGCGCTAATCACGACACAGAACTCTTCAAAATTAGGTCTTATCGCGCGCCGAGGGACAAGATCATCTGCGTGTTGAATTGCTGCAAGGTCATCTTTGGTAGGAGCAGTCCGCATCACAGTTCCGCACGCCTCTAACACCCACTAGGTCTGCTCAAGCACGCAAAGTCAGATGGATCAGCAGACTCGTTCATGCCATTCCTTATCTACGTAGTGCTCCAATCCAATCCTGAACATCTTGTGTCGAATGTGCAGTACATTCTTCGATTCAGGAATCAGGAGAAACTGGGTGGCGAGGCCGGATACTACCTGTCTTCTCTGGTACGTATTCGTAGACATGTGCTTCAACCTTCACTAACACTCGCAGATGGGCGCTATCCAGTTCATTGAGAACATGGACAAGACCAGCCTTACGATTACCGACGACGAGTTCGAGAAGAACGTCGAGGCCGCCGTCTCAGCCATCGCAGAGAAGCACAACGCTGCATCGCCGGTGGAACCGCAGCTCTCCGAGAAGATACCCCAAAGCCTACTGGCCCAGACACAAGGCGAACCCTCGACCCGGCCCGACCACGATGTCAACAACGGAGACTTGTCCACGCCTCGCCGCTCCACATCGTCAGATGGCGACTACTCCGACGGCCAGGCCCCCATTACGAGCCTGCTCCAGACGATCCAGCGACCGCTCAGTACCATCGGACGCATGTTCTCCGAAGATCCCACCGGACCGGAATCCGGCGCCAGCGCCGCGTCGCGCGCGCCGCAGCCTCTCGACCCAAACCGGTTATCACCAAGGCCCAGTGGCGAGGAGGCACGCGAGGCCGGAGGACGGCCGGACCTGCGCAACCATCCGCAGCTGTCGGTGGAGGAGGCGGCCGCGAGGCAAGCGAGCGCCGAGACGGCCGAGGCGCAAAGGTTACACCGGGCGGAGCACCACAATGTCGTTGAGACACTTGCCGGCATGTTTCCGGACCTCGACAGGGACATCATCTCGGATGTCGTGGTGCAGAAGCAGGGGAGGGTCGGACTAGCGGTGGATGCCTGCCTGGCATTGTCCACGTAGCATTTTTTTCCACTGGCGAGACGCGCGGCACACAGCAAAGTGGATGACAGTCAAGGGATCACTTGAATGACGAGCTTTTTTTTTTTTCTTTCATCGCTATTGCATTGTTCATCGCTACTGCATTATTGTTTGGCTAACTTGTGTCGATGGCGGTCGGCATTTGGTACTTTTCCCCTTTTTCTTTCTGCGAGGAGTGCGTGGACGTTGTGATAGATACCAGTAGCTTAAGCCTGGTGCTCTGCATCTTTCAACAAGCGAAGCACGAATTTACGGCCCTTGGAATGCAACGCATCCGGCAGTCATCGACTCCATGATCCTGGCGAATTATGCAAGCCATTGCTGTTTGGCTGATTGATAAGCTAGGTGCGCGTCTTGTGAGTTGTGATGAGGACGGTTGTCACGGGCGCCCGATATGGCATTGTTCATCGTGGCAGGTTTCAGGAGCCGGTAGCTGGACTGTCTTTGTCCGAGTATGGTCAGCGCCAGGGGTCACGAAACGCCAAGCCGCAGGCCAGAGTTGCCCCTGGTTTTTCAACACGAGTCTCTCGGGATGCCAAGACTTTATTCTCCTGCTGCATTGAGAGCTCGGTTTGTGATCGTCGGCGGTTGCGCAAACATTTTGCATCGTTGACGACGAAACGTGCTGTTGTTGGATTCTGAAGATGTTCACACGAATGCGGACTGCTTTTAGCCCGATTTGGGCTCACTTCACCGCATACGTCTTTTTAACCTTTGTGCTGGTGATTTGGCCCTCTCCCAGATATGTGCCGACGTTGCCGGCTGAAGCTCGCAGACTGGGTTGGTGATCTGTTTGATCGACAAGCATGCTTAGGTACTTTTAATTTCAACTTCGAGAACATACATTCTTTTAGACCATGTCCGAGTATTGTTCGGCCCAGAGCATGCAGTGTTTAGACACAATATGACGTATCGGTTTTCAACTCGTCGTACGTTTATACACATTAGATCAGTCCTCTCTGCATCGGCTTCATTTCTCTGCTTGCGAATTTCTTTCAGGCTGTTCAAAGGTAGCAGGCTTTTAGAGCAGTCATGAACAAGCCAGACTTGGTGTGCGAGACGACAGATCTTGAAATGATGCAGACTAAAGTCTCCATATAGAGCTCTGGCCGGGCTCTCAGCTCTGCCGATCGTACTCGTAGTTAAGACTGGAGACCCAGAGATGTTGGGGTCTCGCCATGTAGATGGCATTTACTGGAAGCTTCAGAGTACGATTTTGAAAACCCGATGGGCAGGTACAAGGTCTGTTCAAAATATATAGTTGAGGTTTCCTGTGATGCATCCCAACTGGCCTCAACCGTTCATATTCGTTTGCCTGGCCCTTGAATACGACTCTCGGATGCTTGGTTTGATATGGAAATCGCGTTCAGGACTATAACCGCACAAAGCAGGGTCTGCCAGTTGCTGTTTGATCTGCACTTCCCGTGGCCAACTTCATGCTCATGCTGGAATGAAAGCCAAACACCTGTCTAGCAGCTGTAGGCCTTCTCAATCTGACTTTGTAGACCAGACCAGATGCCGTGTGGCGAAGATACGCAAGCTCAGTCCACGGGCTGTCAAGATACAACCGAGGCTCTGCATCTCTGTCTTGGCCTTCCACGTGGCGGTGGGTAATCCGTGAGAAGCCCCAATTGGACCAGCTGTCTGACATTCGGCCGGTACATTGAGGAGCACGGCAGCACTAGCTGTGAAGCGGTGACAAAAGACGTGCCCAGGACGATCAAAAACGTGGGAAGGCAGGTCAAAAATACATAAACTGATGTGCAGAATGGACGGTATTTCAGCATGGCCTGATACCTGACTCGAGCGCGACGTGTCACGGCATTTATAGAAGGAAATGAAGCCCGGCATGGCGAGTGTCCAAGGCATTGTGGAGGGTCGGGAGATTGAGTCTCACGATGTCGATCTGGGTGGTGATGGTGTATCAGGACAGCCACAGACCGGTTGATCTCCTGTAGACCAGGTCTTGGGTGTCGAGAGAGAGCGGGCAGGGGGCCCTGGAGTACTCTGGAGCCCAGTCAATGGAAGGGACGTTAATGACTAGGTAAGATGGTTAAGGCAAGTTCGTTGAAGGAGACAGGCAGGCGCAGGCGGTTGTTGCTGCTGCCAATACAGAACCAGGTGCCGCCTCTCCTCCGCGCCATCTTCAGGTCCCCATACTAAGGTAGTCTTTCTTCTGCCACCCTCACCGCAACGCTCGCCAGCTGGAGCTGTCGAGGGCCCATGCTGCGTCTCATCATCGTCTCTTCGTTTGGAGTCCGTCTGTAATCATTCAAAGACCGAGCTCGGCTGATCCCGAACTGCCATTAAGTCAGTCACTTTACGTCAGCTTTGCCAAGCCGGTCGAGGCAGCCCATTCCTCCACCGCCCTGTCGCGATCACCGGCTGGGGCTCTTCTTCTGGGTAGCTCTCTTCCGCGGCGATGAGATTGCTTTTGTTGTTTCGAGGACCATAGTCCCAGGCATCGACTCATTTTTGTTTCGCGACACCTTCCTCGCCAGGCCTGCTGGTTCCCCTGTCTGCTGGCTGCCATCTTGGAATGCCTCGGCGCACGGCCACAATTGGTGCGTCTTGGGACGACACTCCCTGGTACAGATGGCTTGGCAGCGCAGGGGCAGCTGTTACAGAACTTGGGCTGTCAGGTCAGGGCGTCCAGTCTGTGTCTGCATTTTGGGGTTTCGCTGCGGTCTCGCCCTCCCGTGACGACAATGCGAGGTGATGTTGTTGAAAATTACAACCGGTAGATACTAACATACCTAGATCAATCAGCCCGCTCGACATCGCCGCCAAATCCTTAATCACAAGCCGGCGAACCAGCGAACGAGCCAGCAGCATCGGATTGCGGAAGCCTAACTTTATCGCACGACAGCTGGTGCACAACCCCTGTTGCCGCCCCATGTTTGAGCTTTCGTCCCAGATCCGAACTGAAGTCGATGCACCGACCACACGCAATCCCATCCCTCGTTCATCATTGCACCACCAACAAGCCCAAGGCCTTCGTGGTTTCACTTCGGCAGGCTGAGCCAGCAATTCCAGGGTCCGTCCCAACGGCTCACGTTCCCTCCGTGTCCCCCCGACATGGTTCTCCTCGAGATGCCCCCGTGCATCTGCGACCCAGGGGCCGCTGTCATCCCTGCCCTCGACCCTCTTCTCGGTCGATGAGCCTGCACCCAGCGCCCAATCTGGAGCCTGCCCTGCTCGAGAGCCGCAAAGCCAAAACAGACTGCCCCTTGTCTAGCAGACGACGAGCGCTGCGCATAGACGAAATCCTGACCCCCATCGCACACATCGCTGCATCGTGATGGCACAGAACGGATTTCGGATGATCCCCAAGGCTGACACTGCGCCTGAACAGGACTGCGCGTCTGTCCTGTGAAGGCCTGTTATGCCAAGTTGTAACCAGTATCCCCACACCGATGACAGAACGAAGCCTCGCCAGCAACAGACCCCTGGTCCAGGTCGTCGTCCAGCCTTGATCGAGTTGCTACCCACCTTCTCACGCAGTGATCCGAGGATCCACGCCGCTGGCTGGTTCCGTGTTCCAGTCCGTCCGGCAGGGGACGATCAGAACCATGGCACAGCGAGGGCCAAGACGTTGCTCCTGGCCCTCCCCCCTCCCCGAATATAACGGCCATGCTGCCTCCTCCAGGGTGCCATGATCAGCAGGCTCCTCCTCACTCCTTGACTACTCTCTTCCACGACTTGCCCGCTCATCCGTTTGCGGCTTCTTTCTCTTCGTCTGCTTGCTCTTCACTTCTAATCGTTTAGTAGAGACTGGTATCTCGAGTTTCTTTGAGCAAGCCTCAGTACACTCTTTATTTCTATTGTCTTCACTTGCCGACTTGGACGCTCTACAGCAACAGCTACATAGGCCGCAACCACTCCGACGCCTTTAACGACAAGCTTATTTTTCACCCATCTCGCCTTATTTGTTAGTACGACATGCTGTTCTCCCGGCCTACGACGGCCATCTGGCTGGCCCTGGCCTCCCTGGCCGAGGCCAACCCGCCTGCAGCAGCTCCCGCCCCTCCCGCTCACCCGGCACCCGTCGAGCAGTGCCCTGCACCCGTCACCGAGACGCTCGTCCATACAGTACACGTTCCCGTTCCAACAACAATCAAGGAGACAGTACACGTCACAGTGCCTGGTGCGCCCGAGACTGTTCACGTCACGGTTCCCGGCAAGCCAGAGACAGTCCATGTAACCGAGACGGTACATGTTAGCGTGCCGGTACACGTTACCGTCCCGGTGCCTACAACGATCAAGGAGACGGTGCATGTGACACAGACTGAGCAGGTCGTCCAGACACAGGTGCAAAGTGTGCCTGTCACGGTGGTTCACACCGAAACAGCGATTCACAGCGTGCCGGTGACAGTTGTCCACACTCAAGTCCAGAGCGTTCCGGTCACCGTCGTCCACACGCAGACCGAAGTCAAGAGCGTACCCGTCACGGTTGTCCAGACTCATGTTCAGAGCGTGCCTGTCACGGTCGTTCAAACTCACGTCCAGAGTGTGCCCGTCACGGTGGTCCAGACCAAGGTGGAGAGCGTGCCAGTCACGGTAGTCCAGACGCACGTCCAGACCCTCGTCCACACCCAAACGCTGCCGCCCCTAACCCATGTGGTCACAACCACGCAAGACCGACCCGTCACACAGGTACAGACGCATGTCCAGACCAAGGTCGAGTCTGTGCCGGTCACAGTGATCCAGACGCAACCCGTGGAAGTGCCCGTTCAGGTTCCCGTCACCCACGTTGTCACGCAAATCCATACCCAGCCAGTCGAGGTCCCAGTGCATGTCACACAGACAGTGCACATTACCGCGCCGCCTCAGACAGTCCATGTCACAGCACCACCGCAGACGGTCCACGTCACTGCGCCGCCGCAATACTGTCACTCTTCCGCCTCACACTGTTTCTGCGTGCCCTCCGGGCGCCGCCGCACCGTTGCAACCGCCACCCGCGGCGCACCCGCCCCGCCCCCTGCGCACCCGATTCCACCTGCGCACCCGATGCCACCTGCGCACCCGGCTCCCCTGCCGATGCACCCCAACCCGCCCGCGGCACCGGCTCCTGCCCCGATGCACCCCACACCCAAGCAACCTGCCGCTCCTCCTGCGCACCCCATGCCCGAGCAGCCCGCCGCTCCCCCCGCACACCCCATGCCTGCGGAGCCCGAGAAGCCGGCGAAACCCACGAAGCCCACGGAGCCTGAGAAGCCAGCCGAGCCCGAGAAGCCTGCCGAGCCTGAGAAACCAGTCGAGACAGAAAAGCCCGCGGAGCCCGAGACACCGCCCCGCGACGAGCCAGCGACGACAACGGCTGCCGAGCCCACGCCCACGCCCATCTTGGTGCCCGCGGCGCAACGGATGCGATTCATGAAGCGCAACTGATCGCTGAGGCGTCCAGAAGCAAGGATTGAAAGAAGAAAGTAACTTTTTGTTTTCTATGTTGACGGCAGCGGACGGGGGCGGGCGGCGTAGTAGTAGTCCCCCGCCTCTGAGGACGGAATTGTGTACGTGCGGCTGCGCGCGCGCGTTGTGTGTTCGTGTTGTTCACCACACTGCCCTGTAACACCCTGCCCACTCTCTCCCCATCTCGTACATAATTATTAGAAATTAGATGGCCGACGGCTGCGATGATACCCCCCCAGTCCGTCTGCCGTCGTTCAATCGAGCGGTTCATGACCAGTAGATGTGTGACACGTCAAGTGAGCGGCCTCATGTAGTGAACTGGGCAAGCAAAACGAGTAATGGTAAAGCAGCGATGGTGACGTGGGAGAAGAGGACCAGGTACGAAAGTCCAGGACGACGGGGGAAAGGAAAGGAAGGAAGAAAGGTAACGTCGAGGAAGAATGCAGTCAATTCGCTATGCTAAAACACAAATCATGCACCGCTTCTAGATTTAAACCCCCCACCTCACAGCGCGAGGTATCCGACCATGGCCGCGACAGCCAGCGCGCCCCAGCCCGCGCGCACGCCGACGGCCGCCGACTCGTTGTTGTTGCCACCGGCGGCGCCCGTCTCGGAGGGCTGCGCGGGGGCGCCCGAGGTGCCGCTGGCGGCGGCCTCGGCCTCCTCCTCGAGGGTGGCGTTCCAGCGGTCGACGACAAAGTCGAGGGCGTCGTCGTCGTAGATGGCAAAGTAGCCGCCGTGGATCTCCGTGTTGTTGCCGCGGTCGCAGTAGACGTCGCCCGTGTCGCACCACGAGGCAATCTTGGGGGCGTAGGGCTCGCAGGCGGCCGTGTCGTCGCGGCCGAAGAGCTGGTCTGGGGTTAGCTATTTGTGCATCCGAAGAGGAAAAGAAAGGAGCGGAGGCGGGACGTACGCCGTCGCGGGTGCTGTTGCCCTTGTTCCAGGTGGCGTTGGCCATGTGGGTTGGGTCGCCGTAGAGAATGACGGCGATGACTTGAGGGCAAAGTTAGCTGGGGTCCAATTATCTTCCCTTGGCACGAGGGGCACATACCGCTCTTGTCGACGATGCTCTCGGGAATGGGGGTCGTCTCGTTGAAGGCAAAGGCACCGGTGCTCTCCTCGCGGCCGCAGAGGGCGTCGAGGGTGACGTGGGCGCCCTGGGAGTAGCCGAGCAGGACGACCTTGCCGTTGGGGCAGGCGTCGGAGTAGCGGTCGAGGGCGGCGGTCAGGGCCTCGGCGCCGTCGGCCACGGAGAGGCCGTAGTCGTCAAAGGTGGCCGGGTAGACGATGGACTCGATGGCCGAGTCGGGGATGGCGGCGACAATGTCGTCGGCGAGGGGGCCGAGACGGCCTGGGCCGGGGTCCTCGGCGGAGCCGCGCGACACGAGCAGGTGGACGCCCTTGGAGCAGCTGACGGTGGTGTTCTGGGCGGCGGCCGTCGAGGCGGCGGCGAGAGCCACGAGAGGCGCGGCGGTCTTCATCTTGACGTTGGTGGGGAGGGAGCTCGGGCTTGGGCGTAGAAGGACGGTGTCGAAGGCGCGGTCGTACGTCGTCAATCGATTGCAAGGGACCTACGTCGAAGAGGGTCGCGGGGGAGAAGAAAAAAATCGTGGCCAGCGGGAGGGGACCGTAAAATAGGGAAAGCCTGCACAAAGGCGCCTCTTGGCTCGCTCTAATCTACGATCCAACGACTATGGCGGCGATAGATCGAGAGCTAGGCCGAGGCTTCCGAATGGATCCAGTTCGCCCACAGGCCCTCGAGAAGACGCGTCAAGCTGCAAAAGGATGTCTTGGCGATCAAGATGGGCCGCTACTCAAGGCCCCAGTTGCAGGTGGGTGAATGTAATGAAGTGGATTCCTGTTGCGGCATCGCACGGCATCGTCGCATCGTCAAACACGTTCCCCATTGTACGCTCGAACCCGTTTCCATTGGGCTTGACTCGTCTCGGACCGCTGCGTGGATGAGCTGCATGGCCCATCGGTCATCGGTCATCGGCGTCATGCCGTTCACGCGGGGACGCCGCATTGTTGGCCAGGAGATTGGGGACAGAAAAGACCCGTCGCGCCAGTGGCATCATCACATGGCAGCGGGTGCCAGGGCTTTCCCCGGAATACGCCCAACGAACGCCCAACGGACGCCCAGAGGCGCGGCAGGTGTGTCCCGAATCGTGCTGTCGCCGGCGCTATTGGCCGTTGGTGGGCCGGTGGGTGTGGACGGATTCGGGCGAAGAAAGCGAGCATGGTGCTGAAATCGGTGTCCGGGTCTGGGGACTTGAGGACTTTGCGGTGGGCGTGGCTTGCAGCGGGCAGCTTGGCCGAGCTGTCAGGTCAGTCTGGGGATTGACCACCCGAGCTGCAGCTGGGGGATCATCATTCCGCACTTGGTCTGCAGGGGCGGCCTGCGTTGTGTGTCCCATATGTCATCGTTTTGGGATAGCTTGTTGGTGAATTGATGAGGGTTGATGCAGATCGAGCTACGGATTTGCTTCGCTTGTTGCTTGGATGGACGGCATGGGCGCATGGCGATGAAGACGGATGGAGATGAAGGCATTTAGAGGAGACGAAGGAGAGTCATTATTTCGCCGACAATTGGTGCGCGATGGGGTCAGGGTTTCCGCTTGGTCCTTCCTGCCTCGTTGTGTCCATCGCCTTTCCAGATGCCCCACCAGCTCCGTCTTTCTCGAGTCGTTGCCTTCCAAGCCCTTCTTCCCCAGTTCCCCTCAGTCAACTTAACCTCAGTCAACTCAATTGATGCCATGCAAACGGCAAACACCGACCAGGCCTGTTCTTCTAGATCGAATCGACACTGGCCTCTCCGTCACATGTCTTATCAGAAACAGACTCGACCTCCTCGTCCCGCTCTTCACTTTCCCCGGGCGAGCTGTTACCGCCGTCTGACTCTGGATCTGCCTGCGCTGCATGCCAATTTCTGCGCCGCAGTTTCGCCTCATACAACGCAAGCCGCCTTTGGGATGTCATGTATCGTCGCATCTTCCGTACTCGGCTGCGTGTCTCTTTATCGTATCCATCTGCTAGATCGCCGTCATCCTCACTGATAGCGTCCCATCCACTGTCGATGTCCGTGGCCCCCTCACCGCTGTTTTCCAAGTTCGCGTTCGTATCTTCTTCAGCCGCTGCTTGCATTCCTTCGTTGTACGTGTCGCGTTCCATGTTGCCGGCGTCGGGTTCCAGGAGGCGGGAACATTTGGGCAACTTCCAGACCTCACTTTCGAGCTCCCAAGGCGACGAAATCATCTCGTCCATCAAAACTTCAATGTGCTCTTCGAGCGACTCAATGGCGGCCAGCCACATCTTCTCCCGCACCTGGACCATGATGGCCCGATACGTCGAGACCAAGTCGAACCTGCCCCAGGCTTCTTTCTCATGTATCATCTGCGCCAGCTGTTCCCCTGCGTTGCGCGGGTCGGGCGACTCCAGAGACTGGACAATGCTGCGCAAGGCCTTGATGTCTCCGTCAAGGACGTGGTTCCTCATGCGAACAAACAGTTTTGGGAAGCTCGTACAAAATGCCAAGTCGCATGGCCAAAATATGTTGATAAAATTCGGCCCATCAACTCTGAGCAGGAATTTGTCCCACGCTGTGGCCTTGAAGACATTGTCCGGCGTGAGACGCTTCATGACATTTACTCGAGGAACAGACTCGCACGTCTCGAAGAACTCGCAGGCCTGGCGAGTCCCACGAAGTGCCAGATCCATTAGTATGTAGGGTGTTCCGTTAGGCAGCGAAGGGAACGTCGCGCCCTTGTTGACCAGATAGCGTAGCAGGGGGACGCAACTGAAGTCGACCCCCTTTATCCATCGTCCATCCCGGTCTAAAAATTCTGATATCAGGCGAGCATCGTACTGCACCAGCAGTTTGGCCTTCTCCAAGATGAAGTCATCGAAGTATGGATTTTGTTGGAAAAGCCAGGACATCGCCGAATTGAAACCGTAACGCTTCACCCAAGGATTCGCCCCTGCCCGTAGAAGAGTTTCCATCATTTCCAGCGCGGATGGGTTTCCGCTCAAGATAGCTCTGTAAAGCGCTGGCCACCTACCTTTGTCTAAATCACAGCCAGCCTTGACAAGCATACTGCACATCTTGAACAAGCCCAGGCGAATCGCCAGCACCAGGGGCGTTTCCCCCCGGATGTCATCGAGATTGGTGTTTGCCTTGGCCTCCAGCAGCATATCCAGGGCGTCGATATGACCGCAAGCTATGGCAAGGTGCAGTGGTGTGTCTCCGCATTCGTCAAGGTGATCGATATTACGCTTTTGACCCAACAAGGCCTCGCGCATACCAACACCAGTTCTTGCGGCCTCGTGGATAGCTGTCCCAGCAGACAATACATCATCGTCCGAGAGCTCAATGACCCTATTCAACAAGTGGCGCGCGTTGTCCGAGCTGTTTGATTTGAGACTGAGCTGACGACGAGCCAGCGTGGCAACACGGCTAGGCGAACACTCGTGAGCGTATGAAGTCGAAATCTGGCAAGGCCGCAAGGGCATCATCCTTGCCGAGGCCAAGAATTTCTCACCTACCTTGGCAGCGGCTTTGCACGAAGATAATTATTCCATACATTCAACAACAAGTTGAAGCCGTCATGCACTGAAGTATGATACATCACCATCGTCTATGAAGAACTCGAGTCAGACACGTGGCTACTCGAAACGCGCAAATGCTCACGCGCTCTGGTGGGCTGGGTGATGAAAACAGACCTCAATCAAAAGAAATTCGTCTGGTGTCTCGTCATCAGGGTAGTAAACATGGCGCCCTTCTTTGAGCAGGCCTAGGATAGCCGGTGTTCCTTTCTCAAATGCTTGCAGCAAATGTCTATCTGCTATGCCCACTCTTGTAGGACGCAGCGCGAAGCGTACAGAACCACATGAAGCCCGGAAACTGGGAGCGAATTTGAATAGCCAATCTGGGACACGCATGGACCACTCGATATTGGTCCAAGACTGCTGTTGGCAGAATGAGCTATCGCATCTAGATTGACGTGAGAATGGCGAGCCAGAGCCAATCGGTAAGGCCCGGCTTCCAAATTGCCATGGAATTAAATCTGCCCAGTATATCTTTGCCTTGTAGTGGCAGGAGCATTTGCAGGGCCTGGGGCAATATCCGGGCATCTGCCCCAGAGATGCTATTGAGGTACTCGACCATGATGCTGACGGCTGATTCGACGTGCAGACCGGCAGCTCGATCGCTTGGTGCACTTCTGCGGGGCCGAATGGCTGTCTAGAACTTGTGACAGCTGTTATCTCATCGATGGGCAAGCTTGAATCACCTCTGAGCTCCGGCAGAGGATTCGTACGGGCCAAGGTGCCCTCAGTCACAGAACTCGCCACGATCGATGTCGTCCCTTGTTCCCGTTTACCCGCCTGATCAATGGACAGGTTGAAACGAATGGCTACGCTGTTACAAGTTAGGAGGGTGCGGTGTGGGCAACTTCACGCCGGTAAACTAGCCTGGCAGCATAGAGGCCAACAAAGCCTTGCAATATGCCCATGGCGCTGTGGGCTTCCGTCTGCATCTTCTGAATGTCATTTTGCAGATATAGCCATTTCAGTTTCTTGGCCTTCGCGGAGCGCTCGCCCTCAGCCTTGTAGCATCGGGCGCAGAGAGCTGTCAGACCATCGGCGACGCTTTTGAGCTTGATCCTTGCAAGCTCTAGCTCAGGACCCAACTGACCCATGTCGTCGCTCTGTGGTAGACTCTCGCAGATGTGGGCGTACTTGGTGAGCAATGCAGCCTATCGAGTTGTTAACGAGTACTGTTGCGGAATGAGATCAATTTGCTCTTGCCTCTCCGATCATTGACTCGAGATTTTGTTGAATTTCGGGGATCGCCTTGAGCTTTCTTAGTGCCACGAAAGCTTGCCCTAGGGCGTACGAACTCGCGACAACCCCAATGATTTCAGCCATTTGCTGCAGATGGCGGTTCGTATCAGAGGTAATAGACGGGCGACAAGGTCTCGAAAGAGATGGTCCACGACAGAACACGCTTGTAAACAAGAGAAGTTTAGAATCAGCCTTTCAACAAGGGCCCGAGGGAAAGTTGCCTGCTGTATGTACTCGTTGGCAGGATCCGCCTTGCGAACCGCCCAACAAGGCAACAGGGCTGCCTCAATTTTGGAAAGCGGCAGTCGAAGCAGCCCGACTCTGCCAAGATACGCCAGCCGGGACCGACCAACAGGTCCTTTTTGGCCTTCCAAGGTGCCCTTCCAATGAGGCGGTGCCACGCTCGCTGCAATGGAGGTCCAGGCCTTCAAGTGTTACAAGTGCCTATATGATTGGATGTGCTGCATCATGACATGCACTTGACAGGATTGCTGACTTTGCCGGTTGTCCCAAGCCTCATCTCAGCTGAGGAGAAAGGTATTGATCAGCGGCTGTCATATTTGGCGCCTGCAGTGTAACGCGTGCAGGATCGTATTTGAAAGGCGCGTCACTGGAAGAAGAACCATCGCACAACTGCTGTGTCTGACCACTTGATGGATGATAATAGGGTGGAAGATCGATGCTGGGGAACGATGCCATGCTGCATTATGTCTTCTTGATTCAGAATGGGGCTTATATATTATAGAGGTGATTGTGTAGCCTAGAAGTCATCTAAGCGTGAATGGTTTAGTGGTAAAATTCTCCGTTGCCATCGGGGAGCCCTGGGTTCGATTCCCAGTTCACGCATACAGCTCCCATTTTTGCCCGCCCAGACAGAAAGCAGCAGGTTTCGATCACGACTTATGGTTCTTGCACATGTGGCTGTGATCGCATCCTTGGTCCATCCCATTCATTGACGCAAGTAGCTAAAGTGGCGATTAGTATCCCGGTTAAAAGCTGGCCAGCAGGCCGGTGACCATAGAGGGCTACGTATGTACCTGTTCCTTAACCAAATGGCCGGCATAAGCTCTTTTCGCAACAGTCAGCAAGCGCGCCAGAATCGGACTTTACATTTCACGAGAAAAGCAGTGCCAGATCGAATCATTTAGGGATGTCATCCGGATCAACAAAATCCTGCGGAATTCAAGATGTCACGGCAGCTGGAGAGCTGACCTCTATAGCTGGAGCTTTCACTCAGAGCTGTGTGTAAATGTCGCTATCCATGCATTATATCTTAATAGATACGGCTGTGTGGTCATCAAACCCAGTGTTTGCGTTACTCCCAACAATGGTCCGAGACTGTGGAAGTTTCCCTGGTAATCCCGCCAGACATTCAGCACACAGCTGCAAACATGCCTTTGAAAGTCATTCATGCCCTACGCAGCTCGTTCGGGTCTGCCCAACCTTCTTAGTCTTCCGTCCAGGTGTCGTACGTAGGATCTGGGTATGGATAAATGTTCCCGGGTATCTCGGTATCGCTTGGTAAGTATATCGCCGGCGTTTTTGGGTCCACTTCTGTGTTCCTTGCGTCGAAAAACTCTTTGTCGATAATATATCGGGGACTAGACGGAGAACCATCTTGAGGCTCTAAGACCATCGGATCTCTTATATCCATGTTTGGAAAAGAACCGTGTTGCATGTCCGCACGTTCATATGCCTCGTATGAAGCTATTAAGCCAGGAGCGGGCGGCATAGCATGGGGTATACCTGTTGTCGTCGGTTCTTCCAACGTTACAAGTGACAGAGGGTATATTCTGGGAAGGCGAACAATACTCTATTTTAACCCAACCACCGGCTGATGAGACAGTCCAGCGCGTACTCCATAGGGTATTTGCCGATCGCCTCAGTTGGGAGGTAGTCAGTCCAATCTTGCAAGGGGCTTCGAACATCAATCGTGTTAAGAGCCCAAACGAACTCCCAATGCTCCGGGTACCAACCCGCGAGCTCCCAATCAAGTATTGAGGTAGCCCGAACGCATCGCTCCGTTATATCGTTCGCTTCTCCTGGGATATCGATCATAGTATTGCGGGGATGTAAGTCGCTATACGTCAGGACGATGCAGTGATATTCCTTTATTAAGAATCGTATTATAGAGATCTAGGATATTGAGGCCCTGGTCTGCCCCTGGCATAAGAAGTCGTTCAGCTCCGCTTCGGTAGACAAGGACGCGGGGGACTCGCATTACCACCTCCTCATATGCTTGCAGAATTCCGTCCTAAAGCTGCCAAGCTGAGGCTGGTCATTTCGAGGAGGCACAACGCGGAGAAGTCAGAAAATGGAAACGAGAGATTACTAAATTGAGGATTTCTGGGCATTCGTGAAATTTAACCAGACGCTCTCCAATACCACGCCTCGAGCCCGAGACAAAAAGATGTATATTCAGCTGCCACCACGTAGAGCACCATGAAATCGAGGTGATGGGAAAGCGGACGCATGGTCGTTAACGTACTACAAATTATGGATATAGAGCGGATCAATAGCAGAGCCAATCTCGACCACTATGTTTTCATTGATTCCGACGACCCAGTTCTCGTGCAGAGCACTCACCCGCCCGAAGGAGTTGGAGTTGATCAGCTTTCATCTTGGAAAGGAAGAAATCCAATCGTAGGTAAATCATTGCAGGATGTCGACTTTCTGGAGGAAGTCAACTGACCGGGTAGCCTTCCATAGTTACTTTGGCCACTACCAGCCGTCGCTTGGTCGGCACTTATGCTATTGCCCCGATCGGAATGCCCATCCGAGTTACTCTTAAATGAGGCCGTTATCTTACGGGTAGAGGAAGACTGCGACATGATCTGAGTTCGTGACAGCGATTCAACACGTGGTTGGTAGGGAAGAGGACGCGGCCTCTATACTCTTAGATATTCTATCGGGCCACTTTCTGCTGGAAAGGATTAATGAACCTCGACGACACTCTCTTCAGAGGGGGTAGAAGATCATTTTTAGATCTGTCGGCCAGTGTCTGACGCCATCCTGTAGAGGTAGTTCGGGTAGAGCATATATTTCTATAATCCGGGACGGAATCCTCTAGGCCTTGGCCGCTACTGGTAGAATCCATGGTAGCTAAAGGGAGACAACTGGTCCGTACTGACTCGAAAACAGGAAACCTGAGCTGAAAAAAGACCAGCTTACAAATTATATCACTTATGCAACCAACTTGTAGATCAAAGGTTCCATAGTCGGGCGGAACGCGAGCCTATAGCCCGCAAGCAATCTTCCTAGTAGGAGGACATTCCCGGGAGAGGAAAGATAGATGGAACTACGAGGTAAGTACTTAGTAATAAGCCTATATATACTCGTGGTCAGATCAGGCTTTTAATACGGGGCGCAGGTTGTTCGCGAACCTTGTCCCGATTCTGTCCCTTTTTTCATTTGCGGTCAGTCGGGGAGACTATTGCACCCACACCAGAAGACTTGGCTGCGGGATGCAGGCTAGAGCAGCAAGCACTGCCATGTCTACACCAGCAATGGTGTGTTTCATTGAGAACGCGAGCTTGGAGTTTTACTGAAAACGCAAAACTCCCACGCGCAAAGCTTGACATAAAACCCTGGCCCCCGTAAATGTCGCCATGCAAAACTTCCCCCCGGAATCTCGACAGGCTGAATATCTCATGTTCTACCAGCCAAGCTGTCCGGTGGGCTTTGGTCAGTGGAGTTTTACTCGCTCGCTCGCTATCTGGTCGAAAGTTGCAGCCAGACTTGAAACTGCGAGCTTGAAAACTACATGTGACTTCCTTGCCATGTCGAGCAAGGGCCTTCCAGCAGCTCGTTCGTAGGCGATAAAAGCCGCCTTAGTTGGTGTCGATGAAGATTGCTTTCCTCCTTTGATACACCACACAAGGCACACATCCCCAGCAATCAATCGCCTTCATCGATCGTACAAATTGATTCTAGTCCAAGTGCAATCAGTGCTCACTTATTTTGAATTTCAAAAGACATCTTCGGCTTGCGAATTGCCTTCCCAAAACGCAGCATCCACGGCGCTGCCCGTGACGCCCCTCAGCCTTGATGCTTTAACCATGTGAGTTGTTGGGGGCTTCTGGTGTTCAGAGGAGCCCAACCATCTAATCCACTATTACAGGCGTGGCAGCCACACAACGAACATGCACCGGTCGGCCTCCTCGGCGGCCATGGCGGGTTACCTGTCGGAACCTGACTCGATTTCCGCTATCAAAGAGATGGGCGGCACCCAGGAGGCAGCCTCTCCTGTGGTGCCGAAGCAACAAGCGCTGGGCATCTCGATGGCGCACATGCCATTCTGTAGTGCGGCCTTTTGGGGGCCGCCAAGAAGCGTCAGCACCGCAAATGGGGGGCGGAGACCTCGTTGCCTCATTGCCGTATTGCCTTACGGGGCGGGCAGTGTTGTAGAGATGGTAGAAGATCTTCACCCCGGACTGGGAAAAGGCGTTTTGGACCAAGGGACATGTTTATGAGTCGATACTCTATGCTAGACGCACTTTTGCTAACCTATAAAGTCAGAGAGGCCGCCGGCCAGCCTGCCTTCTTTTTCTCTCCTGCACCCTGCTTCCATGGTGAGAGGTCGTACAAGTGGCATTGTGCGTGCCTCGCCAAGTCCGAAGGAGGTTATGAACCTGCAACCTGGCATTGTGCACGCCCTGCGATAGAACGAAGACCAACTGTCCCACTGTATCGCGCGACAAGAAACTGAAAGGCTTGAATCGGTCAAATCGAATGATCCCAAGTGTACCCCATCAACAGCAGTCTTGACACAGCGGCCCCAGGACGTGGTGCTTCAGACAGGCGGTTTGCTGAGGCATCACGCGACTGAAGGGCTGACAAGCTTCAAGCTGTGCAACGTTCCTGGCACTAATCAGCAGCCTATCTCTACCTCCCCTGGGTCCTCAACATGCAGCCATGGCCCGGAATTGGCTGATGTACGCGGGAAAAGGGCTGAAGACGCTCGACCATGACTGGCAGAAGAACCCGCAGAATGCTTGATTTACCTGCGCTAGAGATACTGGCGCAAAACTACCCATTCAGCCCCGTGCCCATCCTTCGCCGGTCCCCTGTGACGTGATGCGATAACGGTTAGAGCGCGGGGCATGTGGCACAGCACCATTGGGAGAGGGGGGCAGTGCAAGAAAGCATCGCAGGATCAGCCGGAATCAGGAACACCAGGGTTAAGGAGGCCTCTACGTATGGTATATAGAGCCTGCCTTGGCTGCTGGCTTGCCGCCGTCCGACGGCTGATCATGTAATTGATCTTTGACGTTTCTGAGGAAGCCCAGTGACACAGCTACACAGCTTCCAACAAGAGGACTACCTAGGCGACGATCGTGCCTTCAACCCGGACCAGCCGACCCTTGCCAATCATCTACTGTCCTTCAAATGAGCTCGCAGCAGCCGTACTACGGTCAGCCAGGCCCTCACGGTGCCCCTCCGCAAGGAGGACCACCACCGAGCGGATATCCCCAGCAGCCTCCTTACCAGCAACAGCAGCAACAGCCATACTACGGTTACCCCCCTCAGCAAGGCCAACCACCAGCAGCGCCATACCAAGGCGCCCCAGGAGGCGCGCCGCCGCAGGGACAACCAGGCCAGCCGTACCCTAATCAGCCTTACCCACAGCAGCCGCCGCAACAGCAGCCATACTACGGCCAACAGCCGCCTCCAGCAGGGCAGCCAGGTCAACCGCCGTACGGCCAGCAGCAGCAGCCGCCATACGGCGCACCACCACCGCATGGCGCGCCTCCTCAGCAAGGCTATGGACAGTACCAGCAGCAGCCGCCATATGGCCAGGCGCCGCCGCCGAACCAGCAACAACCCCAATACGGAGGTGCTCCGGTGAGTCAGCTTCACACTCCTTTGCGATGAAATCGTCTGCACAATCGGTGCTGACCCAGCATACAGCCTCCTCAGCAATGGGGTCAGCCGCCACCCGGTGCCGCTCCGTACGGCGCCTACAACGTCCAGCCGACACCCGCCTCGCCGGGGTACGATCCGGCCCAGAAAGCCTGGGTGCAGCCCGTTGACACGTCGGCCGACATTGAGACTGTGCGCAAGGCGATGAAGGGCATGGGGTGCGACGAGAAGGCGCTCATCAAGGTCTTCACGAGCCCCAAGTACGCCAACCCCTGGACCATGGCGCAGCTCGTGCGCGACTACAACAGCCGCTTCATCCGCGACCTCGCCAAGGACATTGAGAGCGAGACGCGCGGCGACCTCGAGACGACGCTGCTGGCGCTGCTGCGCGGGCCGCTCGAGAACGACGCGCGCGTGCTCGACAAGGCCCTCAACCGCATGGGCACCGACGAGGACGCGCTCAACGACGTGCTGCTCAACCGCTCCAACGCCGACCTCCGCGCCATCGTCGCCGAGTACAAGCGCATCAAGAGCCGCGACCTGCTGACCGACATCAAGAACGACGTCGACGACACGCTGTTCCGCCTCTACAGCATGGTCCTCGCGGGCCACCGCGCCGAGGACGCGACGCCCGTCCACCCGGCCGAGATTGACGCCAAGGTCACCGAGCTCCAGCGCGCCACCGAGGGCACCATCGGCGTCAACGCCGTCTCGGTCGCTCAGGTCCTCACGAGCAGCAGCCCCGCCCAGATCCACGCCATGGCCGAGGCCTACAGCCGCAAGTACCACCGCAACATGCAGGAGGTCATCGAGAAGGAGTTCCGCGGCGACATGGAGGACGCCCTGCTCAACCTCGTCCAGGCCGCCCAGGACCGCGCCCGCGCCGACGCCGCCCGGCTGCGCGAACCGCTGTTCAAGTCGAAGAGGAAGGACACGCTCTTCATCAACCGCGTCGTTTCCCTCTACTGGGATCGCAGCCGTCTGGATGCCGCGAAGAATGCTTACAAGGCCAAGTACGGCCGGCCGTTTGCCAAGGATGTCAAGGAGATGCTGAGCGGAGATTACGAGAATGTCATCCTTGCCCTCATTGGCGAGAAATGAGCGAACTGGGAGGGCGAAGGTGTTAAAAGGGCTAATTGAAAGCGTGGGGGCGTTAGTTTGAGACTTGGTCCGGCTTGCTGGAGAAGAATGGAATCACAACTCTCCCGGACCCCTATACCGATCCATGTGGTCAAGTTCGTTACCTGGAACGGCATATGACTATTCTGCGTCTTTCATGATCAGCGGATCACATGATGATATGAACCACGTGATATTTCTTTTCCACAGTACCTCTCAGATACCTTGAGCTGGATGACGTATCTCAGCTTGAGCTATAGCTGTTTTGCTGGGCTCACCACAAACATGAGAGATGATTGAAAGACCTTGGACCTTCTTATCACTGGGGGCTGCGTTCTATATGCTCTCTAGGACCCACGTTAATGTACGCATCATATATCAGACACGGGATGAACTTGACTTACGTGGGTTCTCCATGTCAGGTTGCTCTGATGACCCAAAGTGGTGCATTGCATCGTCAAGTCAATATTGCAAACAATTTTGTGAAACAATAGAAACTTGACATCCACTGTAATAAAAGACACCGTGGGTTCTGTCTGTCGCATTCTGATGAAGCAGTCTAGAACGACAGGTGAGCTGAAAACAATTGGGATTCCTGATGACATTGTTTCAAGAGAGACTCCATTTTGATAGCGGTTTGAGACGTCTACTAACAACAATCTCATTGCTTTGACCTGGAATCTCCTCCTTTTTCCCATCTGTCAAAGACAAAAGCTAGTCTCTATCAAATCTTAACATAAGCAGCCTGCTATTAAAGGATTAAACAACTTTACTGAGGCGGCTGGGACCACTAACCTGCGACATCGTCTCTGACCCCTCATCTATGTTCTCCTGACGTCTGATCCAGCAGCGGGCCTCAGTCTACGACCCGAGAGAAGGTGGAGAATGAACGCGCCGCTGTTCTGCAATTTAGCATCAAATAGCCAAACTTTGTCAACGATTTGTAACACAACATTGGCTTTCGAATCGTCCTATCGATTTTCTCGCGAAATGACGAGATAGGCGGACGTCAGTACTTTGAGTTCGCAGCTCAGCTCGCGTCAAGGAGCAAAAGTATCAAACAGACAACTTGGGCGAGACAAAAGCCCTGGCTACAGGGCCTGTAAACGTCTAGACGTCAACTCAGCGTCAACCTTCCATGCAACAGTTGTCAAGCCGTGACCCGGCGACCCAGCTCATGCAGTCCAGGATCAGGCGCCACCCCAGATTCGGATCAGGGGCCGTGAAGCTTACAGCCTCCTGACTCCTCATCCCTTGCCTCGAAACCAGGGCGAATGCGCACTGCACAAATGAAGGGACACACTACTTGACGGTCTGCCTCTAACGGGAAACATTGATCGAAGCCACGCGCGAGGGACGCGTGTCCACCTTGCTAAGACCAAAAGGGATGGGCGTCGGGTGACCTGTCTGCGCTGCAGCAAATAAGCATAACACTTGGTCGATGCAGCATTAGTTTGCAGCTGAATAGGGTATCTGCATTGTACAGAACCTTTGACTCGAGCTGAAGAACTCTACTAGGTAGATTCGAGGAAGGTAGAAGCAAGGGACTTGCAAGCTGGCAGTAGGTGATCAGATTGCAGCTGTTTCTCCGGGAGGACGCATTAAGTTCACCCACACTAGACCATCATTGCGATCCTCGTGTGAACATCCGAGAGACTTGTATCATCGCAAAAGAATCAAATCGGCGTCGAGGACTCGTGGAAACTAGCATCGCCTGCCTACCGGCCGATATGGCGTACATGTACAGGGCTGGTCGACTCCCCAGTTTCATGAAGAGGGTTGCTCGGATATGAGTTTTGCCACATGCGTGCCGTGATTCCCGGTTGGTCAGCCACAGAGGCCAAGTTGGGAATTGTTGACATTGAAGAGCGACGAGGTGCCGACACCCCAAGACGGCTCTGCCGATGCCAGGACCAAGATCCAGACTTGGCTCGAAGTACGGTGTAAAGCTGAGATGCTTGTACCGGCTTGGTATGGCGGAAAGGATGTGTAGTCGCTGCATGGCCAAAGTCTGATTCCTCTCGGCTGGGCGCCAGGAATCGCCCAGATTATTGGCGCCTCAGCCATCTGTCATCGAGTACTGGTATCATCTGCCTGCTTTGTAAAACTGGAAAAGCAAAGGACGAAATCCATAACCGAGACGATAGAAGGATATTGGGCGAGACAGGGAGGCTTCGAGGGCGAGGGTAACGAATTTCGACCGCGAGAGTTGGACAAGACCTTCACAGATCCCTGCCCCAAACCCAAACCCCGTGGCGGGCTTTTGTTTCTGGTACACCGAGACGGCGTGGCATTGTCCCAGCCCGCTGGTGAGGAAACGTAATAGTGTCTTGGGGTGCACGACCTGACCCAGATCCCAGAGATGCGGCAGCGAGGTGTCATCGATAATTACTGTACGACGAGACAGGAACCCGACGTCGACGACGAGCCATGCCCACTCGAACTTTCCCAGAGTCACAGGGCGCGCGCGGTGGGCAGGGGTGTTGTTGGGGCCTCTTCGCTCTCTCCATCTTTTGCGTTTGCCCCGTCGGAACACCCCACATCATACATGGGAACCGTCGGGTTTTGGCGTTATGGAGCCATTCGTACATCCCACACGTCGCGGTGCCGGGGACGGTTCTAGCACCCATTTGTTCCACCAATTGGTATTCCTCCTCAGAAGCCAAAAGAGGATGTCGCCAATTAGCAATACGCGAAGCTAGGGATGCTCGTGGTCCCCCAATCTTGCCCCAGATGTCGATGTCGGGCGAGGGGAAAACCATGGGTCTTTCTCCCCAGTGTGAGGATGGTCAGGGTAGCTTGGTCGTCTGCCGAGACGCCTTGTACAGCAATCAACACGCGTAGTTTCGACATTGCGTGAACGGCAGGTCCCAGGCTCTGACCAGCCACAGCCGCCTCATCTCTTGGCATGGAGATGAATGCTTTAGGCTGATTTGCCAAGATTGCAGCCCTCCCAAGCGCACGGGAAGGATGGCTCACGCGGGAGTGATGCTGGGCGTCGTTCGGCCCCGAATGCCAAGACGCGATCGACTGTCTGCTGCGTGGCGCATGTGTCGTCTTCACAGGAGGTTGTTTCGGTAGGGCAGAGCGAGGGTGGTGTTCGTTGAACAAAGGATTCGAGTGCCCTGCTGGCAGATGGCCATAGCTCGAGAACAGGAGAGTGCCAAGCGTGTGGGCGCTGTCTGGTCTGGCAGAGTTGAATGGCTTGCGAGCGTGCGAGTGCGGCGTGTGCGTGATGCACTTGAGGCCAGACATCGGTGGTAGGCGGCCACGCGGCCTGTGAGGATGTGGAAAAGCGGCATTGCCTGATTGGGATGCAGAATTGGTGTTTGTGCTGGCAATTTTGAAAGCTCTAGAACTTGCCTGCTTCGTGACTTGGGCAGGCTGTGGCTCAAGGATTCGAGGCTGGATGCCGCATTGTGTCACGTGCTTAGCCACATCGATTCTATCAGCCTTCCTTCTCTCTTTCCTTCACTCTGTCCCAGCCCTTCCATGAACATCTCTTCTCCCAATGTGGTTCATCATCGCCGGAGCTTGTACAGGCCAACAAAACCCTCCTCTCCTCCTCCTCTGGCGCACCAACACACGTGTCTCTTCCTACACCCTCCCCCGCCCACACCCTGGCCAGTCGCTATCAAGGGTCCCGGGAGTCGGCACAACAAGCGGCTGCAGGCCAAGATGAGCAAGGGGTGCGGGGAGTAAGGGTCCCATAATAATGTCCCGAAACAGCCTCATCGACGACAGTTCTCGACCTGCAAAGTTGGGGGGGATCTTCCTCCGCTCATCCACCGTGGAGGTGGACACTGAAGAGCCTGGCGAGTCGATGAAACGAATATGTCTGTTCCTTCACGGGCTTCCCGAATCATGGTAGCACAGCTTGGATTCTTCTACCAAGAGAGCGACCAGACTTTGCTAACAGCACTGCAGTGTCCTCGATGACTCGCAAACAATGTTTGGGTCTCTCGCCTTTGCCATTTCCCAATCGAGCTTATCTCCCCTGAGCTTAGCTCCAGACGGGGCCAAGGATCGGAGACATCCAGCCAACCACCCGCTGGCCTGTTCGAGCTTGCATTCTCCTCATTCCCCCCTTCTACCCGCCCTATGGCTGACCGTCCAGCCGATGCCTATTACGGTGGGTGGATGATGGGTGCGCGAACGCTCGAGTCTTCGGCCACACACACTCTCTCTCGTGCCGTCTCCCGGCTCAGTCTTGCCGCCGTCGTGTCGCCTGAACATCAAGCTCCAGAATTAAACCCATCTCCACCCACTCTGTTCTTCGGACCCCCGGTATTCGAAGGTGAATTGCCCATTGGCGGAATTTCGTTCTTCATGGTTTCTCCGCGTCCTGCGGCTCCCGTCGCCCGTCTCCCACGATGACTCGTGGAGTCTGCCCAGAAGAGCCCCAGGAATGCCATCATGGCAAGGGGACGCCCAGAGACTAGTCCGTGGTGCGCCGTGAAGTGTCGCCTCTCGCTTGCGGCACGTCCCAGGGTCTGGCTGGCCTCCGGGACCCAGCTCACTATCGCGTCTCTATGCTTCTTACGCCCCGGTGCTGTTTAGAAGGCAAGTCACGCGCACGAGGGAGGGCGAGGGTCTGGCTCACTTTGTCCCTCCCCGCGTCCTCTCCACTCCCCCGGAAACCACCCATACCCACCAGTACGCCCGTCCGTTCACCTCTGCCTTCCCGTCTTAGCGTCGGCCAGGGGTAAAGGCGGCCATGAGTCCAAGGATGCGGCCCTAGTAGCGCATCGAGACTTCCTGGATGGGACTGTATTGTCTCGATCGACAATCTTTTAAAACCCCATCCTCCCTTCCACCCATCTGCACCATCTCTTGCCCTCCAGATCTTCATCCCTTCTCACTGTGTCGACAGTCTTCCTCCAGTTCACCACACATATTCGACAAAGAGGAATCAAACCGGCAAGATGGTTCACGCAACGAGGTGGTACAACCTGTACGTTGCCGTGGTTGCGGCCCTGTGCATGGTACTCTACGGTTACGATGCCTCTGTCTACAACTCCCTTCAGGGATCCGACAACTGGTTCGAGTGGGTGGGCTTGGACAGGGAGAATACGCAAATGATCGGCTTGAGTACGTTCTCGGTTTCGACATGCTATGGAAGAGCTGCAACTAACTCCAATTCCAGTCAACACATCCTATACCATCGGTGCCATTGTGGCTGGTTTCTTCCTCGGTGGTCCCACCGCCGATTACCTCGGCCGTCGTTGGGGCATGTTCATCGGCTGCGCCCTTACCATCATTGCCACCATGATGCAGACATTCACGCCCAGTACGTTCCTTCGCTTGCGCATCCTTTGTCTTCTCGCTGTTGCCAACTGATGGCTGACATTTCCGTATAGAGGGCAAGATCTCTGTCTTCATCGTCGGCCGTGTCATCATCGGTATTGGTCAAGGTCTCGCTCTCACCGCTGCCCCCGTCTACATCGGCGAGGTCGTCCCCGCGAACATTCGTGGTATGGTTATGACCATCTGGCAGATGAACTACTCTGTCGGTAGCTTCATCGCTTACTGGATCAACTTCGCCTGTTCCAAGCACCGCGAGAGCCTCGGAGAGTGGGATTGGAAGATGGTTGTTATCTTCCAGGCCATGATCCCCACTCTGATCTGCATCGCTATCATGTTCATCCCCGAGAGCCCCCGCTGGCACATCCAGAAGAACGGCAATGTCGAGGGCGCCCGTGCTTCTCTCGCCAAGATCCGTGCCACCGAGGCTGAGGTTGAGGAGGAGCTCCACACCATCCGCAGCGCCATCGAGTACGAGAAGGAGGCCATTGGCGGCATCAGTTACACTGCTCTGTTCAAGGACCCCTCCATCCGCAAGCGTCTCCTGCTCTGCTCGTGCCTGAACGTTGGCCAGCAGCTCACCGGCCAGGGTACCCTCAACACCTACTCCACCTCCATCTACAAGCAGGTCTGGAGCGACAACACGACCATCAACCTGATCAACGCCCTCAACGCCACCTTTGCCATCTTCTTCACCTTGAACGCCATGTGGACTTCTGACCGCTTCGGCCGCCGCTGGCTGTTCATGGTTGGTTCCGCCGGTATGGCCATGTGCATGCTCATCGTCCCCATCATTGGCCTCAAGACCCCGAACCACATGTCGCCTACCGGAAAGCCCGTCAAGTCTGAGCCCGTCGGTATCTCCATCGTCTTCATGCTGTTCCTCTTCGCCTTCTTCTACAAGCCTACTTGGGGGTAAGTCAAGCTTCTCAGCTTCCCGGACAATTCACTGCAGCAATATGCTAACCAATCGGAAACAGAGCCACCACTTGGATCTACACCAGCGAAGTCTTCAGCATGAACGTCCGCGCCCAGGCCGTCGGCATGTGCTCGCAGATGCAAAACGTCGCCAACACCATCTTCCAGCAGTTCTTCCCCACCTTCCTCAAGAACGAGGGCCTCAAGTGCCTCTTCTTCTTCATGACCATCAACCTTGTTCTGGGAATTTTCGTCTACTTCTTCATCCCCGAGACGAAGCAGATCCCCCTCGAGGAGATCGACACCATCTTCGGCGGCGCCAACCACACCGAGAAGGGAGCCGACATGCTCCACGGCGAGCCCCACTATGCCGGAGCCGACAGCACTGCCCCCGTCACCGAGCTCAAGGACGGCTCGGAGGTGCAGCAGACCGAGGCCCGCAAGCAGACCGTTTAATGGGAGGATGCGGTAGAGTGTGTTTCTTCAGACAGCGTTGCGAGCTTAAAGATTAGATTTGTCGGATGACTTTCAATTGAACTTGTGTCATTGCATTCCTGGAACTGTGATCTGCTGTCTGTGTTAGTGCTTCTCCTCGACTACCGGACTTTTGTAATGAAAGACCGCAGTCGATCATTCAGAGCGCGATGCATCATCCGTCGAAGCGGGATTTTCACGTCACCGACTTATGGTTTCTCATATTTCTTTCGGACGAAACACTCAGTTTGCTTTGAGGAATCCATCGTCGGGCCAAAAATATCAGTTGCTGACAGGATCGTACTCTAGAATGGCTGAGAAGGTTTTTGTTTGCTGGCTGTGTCCTCAGACTTGACACAGTCTCAAAACGCTGCCAACGAGACCGAGCTCTAGAACGTAGATACCCCCGCTGAGCCCCTCTTCCAGGACCCGTCTCGACATCCAACAACTCGGCACGTGGAAATTCCTTCACAACGTATCAGACAGAAACATAATCACTCATCGCTCCATATCCTAGAAAGCAGATAACCACCGTTTACTCTTGTATCTGCCATCGCAAAGTCCACCATCACATCGCCCAGCATGCCCATCTCAGTCCGCCCAGTCGCCGCCCTCGACCTCGCCACACTGGAGCGCTGCAGCACCGTCGAGCTCGCCGCCTTCGCAAGCGACTTCCACTCCCTTGCCTTCCCCGGCCCGTTCCCGGAGGACCGCGCCGAGACGAAAGCCCAGGCGCTGTCCACCACCATACAGAACGACGGGTGCCGCGTCTTCGCGGCGTGGGCCGTCGACGACGAGGGCTCCGAGACGCTCGTTGGCTGTGCGCGGTGGTTCGTCTATCGCAAGAGCATGCCGGAGCCCGAGCTGCATAGTTTCGGCCCCGGCGTGCACGTTGCGGCTGCGACGGAGATGCTCGGTGCGATTGATGGCCTGCGGAAAGCGAATTCCAGCGGCAAGCCTTGTGTTTGTGAGTTCTCTTGGCAGCTGGGGGGGCTATTTGGTGTTGGAGGGGGTCAAGGGTCAGAGGAAAAGGTGTCTGTATTGGGAAACTATTCTGCAGGGCAGGACGGTGCCTGGAACTAAGCTATAGGAGGCATCAGGGCACAGGCCACCTGGCAACAGGTGACTGCCACTGACCAAGTGAATGCCCTGAGTGCCGCCAAGTGAATACCACCAACATTTGGTAGTTGCGGGACGGGGTCTTGTGCCTAGTCGCTGACGTGTTGCAGACCTCTCTGTGCTGGTCGTGCATCCGGACTATCAGGGCCGGGGCGTCGGGAAGCTGCTCATGGAATGGGGGCTGGATAGGGCGGCGGGTCTTGGTGTGTCGGTTTTCCTGGAGTCGTCTCCTGCTGGGAGGAAATTGTACACAGGCCTTGGGTTTAGAGAGGTTGGTGTTGCCAAGGTGCCGTTTGCGCAGTTTGGCCTCGACAAAATGTTTACGGCGTGGGCTATAATATGGACTGGGGCGGAGGTCTAAAACACGGGTTCCGATGTGCACCGTGGCACTGCCACGAAAGGTAAACCGTGAAAGCATCACCAGTCTCCTATCTCCCTTTGGATAGGACAAGATTATCCTGGGAGTGGGCGCCGCCAGGTTTACTACTTGGTTCTTCTACCCAGCTACCAAGATTTAGCAGCATGGCGAGGGAGGTGGCCCATCCTAGGGAGGAAAAGTAGAGCCTATACTTTCTATTATTCCTCTATTCGCGATGATGAGTTATGGCCCAGGCTTGAATGTTGAGTCCTCGTTGAAACATGGTAGGTGTACTGATGCGCTGCTCAAGCAAATCATAGGATTGGTGGAGCAATAAGCAGACTTTTCGTCATGATTTTTGGTTGCCTTCGTTTTATATTTCTACCTTTATCATCCTGAGAACTGTCAAGTGAAACTACGCTTTCTTAATCTTGGCTAACGATGCCGCTGGATGTGGCACCTGGAGCAGTTCAAGAAGTCAGGTTCTACCGTTTTGTGCACAATAACCCATCGTATGCATTGCTCTTTCCGAATTATTCCTCGTGAGCAGGTCTGAAAGGCGAACCACGCCATGGCTGAGGCGCACAGAGCCCCAGCTAGCCCCGCACAGTCGCGCTGGTCAACGGGTTAGAGACAAGGTCCCGCGAGAATCAAAGTCAAGGTCCGATAGATGTCTTGCTTAGAAAATCTAATAGGCCCCTCATGCTGGAGTGAAACCCATTTGCCCCATTCCTAAAATACGCGAGGGGGCACCCCAGGTGGGCCATGCCTAGATTTGCTTCCTCATTCATTCGGTCCAATGGGAATAACTTCAAGTGTAAGCCAGCAATAGATAGTTCACGATTCTTTCTTCCACTATTTCTCACGCTCTTTCCAGAACCTGAGCGGCAGAAACAAAGTTCGGAGAAAACCTGAAGAAGCCTTTGGCGTATCATAAGAGCATCGAGGGTGAGCTCAACCAAAGGCAGAACTTCTTCATGAAGAGCACTCCGAAGCAAGCCGTTGCCAGGCGGTTCTTCCTAACAATGACGAGCACCGCCCTTGTAGAGAAGCCCGAGTCAGCGGAGAGGCTGATTGATTCCTCCCTTTTCCTTCGCATGCTGAAGGTCAATACCGCCAATGGACTTGACACATGACTACCTTGACAAGTGGCACATGAGTGGGCCAAAGCAAGGTCCCGGGCATCTAGAGGCCCTGCCACAGAACAGCGTGAATGTCTCATGGGCGCCTCCCCAGCGTTTTGGACTCCGTGATTTTCCATGACGGCAATGAAGTGAAATGAAATGTCATCATCTGCGCAACCAGCTTTGGCCTCTTTTACAAGCCCCGTCTTCATATTGTCCGGCGGAAGGGGGTCAAGTTGAAAGAGCTTCGGTGTCCAACTGCAAACCAAGCTTTGGTGCCCCGAAATTTCTCAAACCTTCGCATGAAACATTTTCCCCTCAAGATGGACGATCCTATAAAACCAGATAGTGACTTTCTGGTTGCCCGAAACCAGACTACCTCGGCCCTGCAATATGCTTCGCATGGGTCTCTCATCTCGGCCATCGCAGCTTACACATTACTTCGCGAGGATCATCAATGAAACCCAAAGAGAAGGCCACGCCACATTTGAGTCACGACAAGAGTATGTCGACGATCTAAACCGTCATCACTAAGAATATCTGAAAACCATTGCCTTGGCCTCTGACTGTGCGTCGACCTGCAAAGACGGCACTGAGGGCGGCAGAAGCAACAACCCACGCGGAGGAAACCGCCTCCGTTACCCGCAGATGCTGCAGGACCCGAGTTTGAGGATTGGGCCTTGGTCCCGGGCACAGGACTCCACGGCTTCTTTGACAATGGTCAGTCTCTGAGTCAGGAGGACGGCGACGCTGCCCGGCACCTTGAACACCCTCCATGGCTCGCTTATAGGCATCCTGTGGGAAGGGTTAGGGATTCATACACTGCACAGACCATGGAGGTCTCGGAAGCCATTGTGGGCCAGATGCCACGGCCAAGGGACAATGCTTGTGTCGGCTGGTGTCCTGAAATGACATCCCAGGTCACGTTCATCCATTAGGGCCCTACCTGTTGACCCCTCCACCCGTAAACAAGGATACAGTGAAGGACTGAGTCTTACGATGATACTGGAATCCTCATTGGTACACTGAAGCAGACAAACCGCAGGTCGTTCCAGTAACCTACAGATCTCGCAGCCATGTCCGGGCCCGCCCTCAACCCCCAGCCGCAAACTCCATTCCGAACCCGCTGACGTATGTTTCAGAGTAATCGAATCCGCCTCCAAGTTCTGCCGTCTGAAGCAAATCTTCTACATGACATCCGTCAGGCCCATCGATATTGCTGTCCCCCAGGGGCCCCAGGGGGTAGGACTCCAGGCATCTGCTGCATTGCGTTTCCGTGGGCCATGGCCTGAGTGGCCTGCTGCGCCTGGAAATGTTGCTGTTGCTGTTGCTGAGGACTTTGATGCTGCTGTTGCGCCTGGAAACGCTGCTGTTGCTGTTGATGAGGACTTTGATGCTGGTGCTGCGCTTGGAACTGTTGCGGCGGCTGAGGACTTTGATGTTGCTGCTGCGCCTGAAAGTGTTGCTGCTGCTGTTGCTGAGGACTCTGATGCTGCTGGTGCTGCTGCTGCTGAGGGCTGTGATGCGGTCGCTGCTCTATCATTTGCTTGCGAGCCTTCAACCACGACCAAAGATCCCGTGACATGATCTCAAAGTTATCTTTCAGTGGCAGTGCGTTCTCCCATCTCTCGCCATATTTCTTCAAGGTTTCGAAGACCTGTTGCAGACACCGAAGACTCTGAGACACCTTGTCCTCGTTAGGGTTTCGCGGGCGTGGCAGAGGCGGCGGCGGTGCGGCACCAGGGCGTGTCAGAGGTGCCTGTGGTAATACGCCAGAAAGCAGGGCATCAGCGCCATCGTTGAGAACAGTCACGAGCTGGGTGGCCATGAAGTATAGCTTCAACACGTCGTGGTAGGTGTAGTAGGCAGTGTGACTCGGCGTTGGGTGGTGAACGACGCCATGGATGGCGCTTACGTAGGCGATGGCGTGCTCAAAGATGAGAGCTCGGGTGTAGGAGGTGATGTTTGGTGCGCGGGCCGAAGGAGCGAGGCAGTAGACGTAGCTGTAGCGTAGATCGAGATCAAAGAGATCTCGGATGGGTGCCGATAGGGTCGTTGGCAGCGACTCATTCCACTCTCGCATGTCGAGACACATCTGCCAGATGAATGAAGCAGCATCGTGAAGGGGCTTGGGTTCCGATTGAAACAGAATCTGGTACCAGTGTGACTGTTTGCGGCGAAACTCGAAAAGAAATAGAGCTGGGTCTGCATCCTGAGGTCCCGCGACGAGGCCCTGTGCAACGGAGTCCCGGCCTGCGTTGCGTTGTCCAGAGCTGTTGGGGTATGCGACGTTGATGGAATCGTCGGTGAAACTGAACGCCCGCGCGTGCGTCATGCTGATGGCCCTGTGCTTTGGTCAGACCGATGACAATCAAGTGAAACCTGTGAAAAGGGAATTTACCTGTCTAGCGAGTACACGCAGTAAAATATCCTTCTCCGCGTGTCAAGCGCAGCAGCATCAGTGATCTGGCTCTGTATGGGATCCTGGTGCAGCCCCATGTCAATGACAGCGCGGCATGCGAAGCCAATCAGATACCAACTGTCAAAGTGAACGGGATCGAGCATGGAGTATTGCGTCAGTAGTATGAGAGACTGCACTTGCGTGATGCTTCCAGGTCCCAGGGCACCGTCAGCACACGGAAGAGCGCGCCCAACAAAGTCGACCGCGCTGAGGTAGTATGAGTCCTCCCGTTCTCTACTTTGAGCTGCATACCCAATAGCAAGCACCAGGTAAATCAGCCAGTAATCCGAGTCTTGTATGACGCGATCGTCCTGTTGATAAAGATCGTCTAGTACAGTCAAAAGCTTGGTCTCAGAGAAAGCCGGCACAACAGAAAAGATGTTGGCCATGTAGTACTGGACCATGGTGAGAGCCTCTTGTCGCGGCGGCAGGCTCTTCTCTGCAGGCTCTGGGGTCATTTCGTTGGTGGAGGCGGCGAGGACGAACCGGCCGAAAGTCAGATTACTGACGTCGACTTCGAAGTCGCGCGACGTGGCGTCTACCGACCTGGAAAATGTAAGTGAGGCTCAGGTAAGACGCAAGTTGAGGCGCCTACATGAAGCCAAAGTCAGAGACAAGCGAGTTGATATCCGAGTCTTCACGTCGCCGAGCAGCCTTGCGGTGAATGGCGGCACGGATCTTCGCCAATGAGTCTTTGCGGTCGTATTGGGTGGATAAGTCATCAGGCTCATGCAAATTGACAGAAGCCTTCCTCAACCTAGCAAAAGCCAACCGACGTTCCAGCTTCTCGACCCTAAGTTCCAGAGCAGCAACGTAGCTATACCTTTGTCAGCCTCACATTACAAGGCATGCCAGGTCAACGTAGGGGCAACGAACCTCCTTTCCTTTCCTCGAGCGAATTGATCATTTGCACTAGAGCATTCACTTTCACGGCCGGCCTTTTCGCAAGCGGTGCATGCAGGTAGTTTGCCATCGCACTATGGCAAGGAAGTAGATTAGTTCGGTTGAAGACCCCAGACGT